CTGCCCCCAGCCTCCCTCCGCCAGCGGCTCCTCAGTCACATGCTCTCCCACTGAGCCGTACCCCGTGCCCCTGTGTGAGCTGTGTTCCCAGCCCAGGGAAAGGGCCTGAAGCTGAGATGAGGCTTTTGCAATGGATTCGGAGACGCCAGGGCATTAAACTGCAGGCGCTTCCCAGCACGGGCTGCGTTTGTGTCTGTAGGAGCTGGAGGGGGAGAAGGCAGCCCTGTCTCCCAGCTCCTTCCCTCGGTCCATGGTCCGTCCGTCTGTCCGTGCTGTGAGGGTGGATGGTTTATTTAGGGGGTGCGGTCACCGTGGCGAGTGCGCGGTTTAAAGCGAGCAGCCGAGATGGGTGGCAGCACAACCGGGCAGGGAGACGCAGAGGAGCCAGGACGGAACCTGCACCCCCTGGGCCGAGGGTTGCACTGGGTTCCAAACAGCCCAGCCTCCAGGGCCCTTTGCTGATGACCCGGGACGAGACAGCACCTCCCACAGGCCCAGCTCCGAGCTGTGGGCTCCTCCCCGGGGCCGTCCCTCCCTCCCTGTGACTGAGGGGCGTTCTCGCCATGTTTGGGGGACGGGAATGACCTCGGACATGGCTGTCATTGCCACTTGTCCTTAGCATCCTTCCCGCCAGCCTTGCCCTCGGGGCTGGCTTCTCCCCACCCCCACCCGCCAGCCCCCAGGCCCCGCAGACCAAGCAGACCCTCCCCTGGGGCTGCAGCTGGCTGTCCCCGGCACCCAGACCCGCGCGCTGTCGAGGTCCCCCTCTCTGGGAGCCGGTTTGCCTGCGTTTCCTTCCACTCTTGGAGCTCCCCTCCCATCTCTACCCCGCCCCCCTCCGCCCTCCCACTCCGCCCTTGGCCTGAGGTGGCCAGAGGCATTCTGGGCTTGTGACCAAATAACTCGCCTCCGGCTTCTCCCTGCTGAGCAGATGTGTGCGCTCTCCCCGCTGAGTGCTGAGTCCTGAGAACTAACCTCTGGGAGAGGCTCCCCGGCCCCAGAGGAGGAGGAGGAGGGTCCCCCGCAGGCTCCCCTCTGTCCCGGGGTCTCTGAGCCCCTTTCCTGGGTGGGGCCGCGGCCCAGGAGGGAGGACCGGCCCTGCAAGCGCTTTAATAGGAAGCAGCTGGAGGGCAAACCAGTTCAGCTCAGAGCAAAGTGATTCCACATGTGCTCAGCGCCCCACGTGTGTGTGCGGAGTTTACATTCGCGTCCAAGGGCAGCTGAGAGAGAGAGAGAGAGAGAGAGGAAGGGGGGGAGATAAAAGAGAGGCATTTGCTTCAGGCCGGAGACCAGGCAGGAATACGGGGATGTACTAAGAGGATAAGGAGGAGCCACAGGGGCTGAGCGTCGACCTAGGAACCAGGAGGTCACCGTGCGATTCCGGTCAGATCACAGGCCCGGGTTGCGGGCTCCATCCCCGGTGGGGGGCGTGCAGGAGGCAGCCCATCAATGACTCTGTCTCATCATGGATGCTCTTATCTCTCCCTCTCCCTTCCTCTCTGAAATCAGTAAAAATAAATTATTTTAAAAAGAGAAGAGGGGAAGGTGACTGACAGCTGTGTTGATGAGCAGACACACAGGAGGAAGGCCCCCCCCCCGCACCCCCACCCTGATGACGGCAGGGTCACACACATCCCCGTTCTCACCCAGAGCTTAACTCCTGCAGGGCCCTGAGGTCTGGCCTGGCGGTGCCCTCCTCTGCCCCTCCCCCCTCTGCTT